TTTCAAATAAGTCAAATATTATAGACCTCAAAAAGGCAATGTTGGTCAGCTTCCAAATGTAAAATGATTTATGTTAAGATGTTGATGTGAGTTCATGATTCAGACTGGAGCACTGAGTGTTGTTGCATCCTTGTGTACGCACTCAGTCTGGTGTCTCGTTTGGCTGCCAAGTGAGCACTTCTTTTCCATTATGACTCCCTGAGAGCCCAAAATAAACCCCAGGAGGTCGTTTGACAAGGCTCCCTCAATCCGCTTTGGAGTTTGGTGTCGCTTTGACAGCCCTTGACTGACTGGCCGTCAGGGTTCCATGTAAACAGGAGAGTCTACCTGTGCTATAGAGCGAGAGCGTGGGGGCCCAGGGAACAGCATCAGGGAGAAAAAGGACGAGACAACTGAGAAAACTTTCAAAACAAAGAAAAGGATGATGATATTTTTGGATGGAAGTGAGTTGATGGGTGACGTGGGAGTGGGAGAGCGATAGAGCAGGTGGGGTCAGCATGGATTTAAGCTTATCCTCAGGGATTATGCCTTGTCAGACGGGGTTAAACGCATCGGAGGGGGCTGCTCATATCCACACTCTCAGCTGCTGCCAATCCGTTCCTTCCTCCTCACACTCTCACCCAATGAGGGGCTGAGCCCTGGGAGGCCTGAGTGGTAAGAGGCACATGGCTGGACAGCCGACACATGTACCGTAGATAAGGGAAGAGTCCGTAGAAGTACAGGAGCACAAGACGAAGCCATGGAGACTATCCCGGCCCCTTGGCCTGAGCTCTGTCCGGACGCCCCAAGGCAGGACCTGGATCTGAAGCAAGAGCGGATCCTAGCATGATTGGGACAATCGGGGTCAACGCTTTACCTGTGCAAACTTTTCTTCCCGTTTAAGCCTGAACGAAAACAAGGTACAGTGTGTAGTGGTGCCCATTGACAACTGCTGCTCGTTGGCGCTTAAAGTCTGTGGAGGCGTGCGCAGCTCATGGCGAATCCCCCTCCCTGGGATGAAGATTGCTGTGTCCTATGTGTGCATAGTCTTTGTGAGGAGGCTCTGGTGAGGATAGAACAAAGGTCACACCAACTTATAATGGTTTTTACTGACAAAACGTGGACAGAAACAAGATACCTTGATCCTTCAATTCTTCAGAGTGATTGTCTGTCTGCTAGTGAGAGTCGAAGGAGGGAACTACGGCAGGAGATACCTGCAGGCCTCTTTGTTGGGAAGCTAATCCCAGGCTTACTGGGGTCCTGTCGTATTTATGTAAGACTGGATATGTTTGTCCGCATTTGGCCCACTGTGGACAGTATATCACATGGGCATTGGTATCGAATGCATTGCAGCTTTTCGGTTACTGTGTCAGTTTGTCTGCATTGTGGTCACAGCTTTTCATGGTTTCTCATGAACTCCTTTTAAGTAGACGTGCACACTGTAAATGGTAAACCCGAAACTGAAATGCACCTTCAAATTAATTTTCACATATTTAATTGTAACACTCTGAATTAGTGAAAGACGTTAAAGATTCCAAAAAATAGTTTTATATTAAATACATAATTTACTATAAAACCTAATGAAGTCGAAACATGTTCGAAACATGTTCTATTACATATATAGGGGACGAGTGGCGGCACGGTGGCGTGGTGGTTAGCACTGTTGCCTCACAGCAAGAAGGTCCTGGGTTCGATTCCGCCCAGTGGCCTTTCTGTGTGGAGTCTGCATGTTCTCCCCGTGTCTGCGTGGGTTCTCTCCGGGTTCTCCGGCTTCCTCCCACATTCCAAAGACATGCTCTGAGTTAATTGGGGACTTTAAATTGCCCGTAGATGTGTGAGTGTGAGTGTGAATGGTTGTGTGTCTCTGTGTAGCCCTGCGATTGGCTGGCGACCAATCCAGGATGTACCCTGTCTATTGCCCGAAGTTGGCTGGGATGGACTCCAGCCCCCCCGCGACCCTGTGTGCGCGACCCTGTGTGCAGGATAAGCGGTTTGACAATGGATGGATGGATATTACATATATATTATATAAATACATTTATGTTGATTAACAGCAATTGGCTAGTGCTTCTTAGACTTGCAACCAGTCTTTCACCCCAACGCAGCTACAACACGCATGAAGACAGGATGTGCGTATGACAGATATTTTTTTTAAATAATTTTATATTATCTCTTTTTTCTTTTGGGCTCAAGGAGGGGCGCTCCAGGTGCCCTCTATAGCCTGGTCGCATTGTAGTATCTGCTAGTTATCACTAAAAAAGTTGTTGTGTTCAAAAATCCTAGTGTGTTATTCCACAACAAATCTAGAAATCCATATCTATGATAATTTGCGTTGGTCTACTCATACTTATAATATTTCACCCCAAGTGAAGGAGTTCAAGTACCTCGGGCTCTTGTTCACGAGTGAGGGGAAGATGGAGTGTGAGTTTGGCTGGAGAATCGGAGCAGCGGGGGCGGTATTGCACTCGCTTTAAGAGAGCTGAGCCTGATGGCAAAGCTCTCGATCTACCGGTCAATCTTCGTTCCTACTCTAACCTATGGTTATGAAGGATGGATCATGACCAAAAGAACTACGTCACGGGTACAAGTGGTCGAAATGGGTTTCCTCAGGAGAATGGCTGGCATCTCCCTTAGGATGAGAAGCTCAGCCATTCGTGAGGAGCTCGGAGTAGAGCCGCTGCTCCTTTGCGTCGAAAGGAGCCAGTTGAGGTGGTTTGGGCATCTGATGAGGATCCCCCCTGGGCGCCTCCCTAGGGAGGTGTTCCAGGCACGACCAGCTGGGAAGAGGCCCCAGGGAATACCCAGAACTAGGTGGAGAGATTATATCTCTGCACTGGCCTGGGAACACCTTGGGATCCCCCAGTCAGAGCTGGTAGATGTGGCCCGGGAAAGGAAAGTTTGGGGTCCCCTGCTGGAGCTGTGACCCGACCCGGATAAACGGCTGAAGATGGATGGATAGATGGATAAAATATTGTCAATTCTATTATGCATATACAGGACATATGAGATATTTCAAAATCTACTCTTCAGGGTTCACTAGATATCACGTAAAACCCATCCAATATGTATAGATTGTCTAGATAGATAGAAAACTGCACTTAACTTAGCCAAAGTGGTGCAACTACTGACTGCAGACTCATGACTTGGAAATGGGCACAGTGCTGTGTCTGAAACTCAGGAAACCCTCGATGGCACAGATCTAACACTAACTGTGGCTCCTGCAATGGGACTCAAAGCCTGTGTTTGGCTACTGCTCTACTGTAGATCCTAACTCACCTCTATACTGACCTGGCATAGCAGCACTCCGTGTACCGGACACCAGCTGGCCTGATGCACACGAGACACAAAGTACTGGGTCAGGTGTTGCAACTCAATCTCCATCCGGCCAGTCACGCCAAACAGATAACAAACAGTGCTTGCATTTGTACACTTAGTGGTTTTGCTTGACTAGAAATAAGTTGAAAAATGACCCAGATGATGAAATTGGTTTTTCCACAGCGAGCAGGTTAATGAGTTTTGGGATCTGAATTACACATACTGCACATCCTAATTACCTGTGTTAATTAAAGTACATTGGAGTCAGGCACCCAAAAGATTGCAGATTCATCTGTATTTTCAGATTGTTCTGGAGGGGACCACACTGTTTACTGCTTTTAGCTACCTCGGATGGAATGTCCCCAATGGGCAGTGGGTAACACGGTTTGGTGTCGTACCAGAAGGAAGCCATGAGTCTTTTAAAAGGCTGCCAGCACAAGTCTGCTGAAAGGAAGATTAGCATTCCAGTAATATGTGGAAGTATCAACAGCAGATTGGGTTTGAAAGAGACGGTCCAAAGCCAGCCAAGGCCATTCATTTCTGCAAAGATACAGTCACCGTTAGTGGCCTTGAAGAAGTGATTATCTTTCACAGCTCATCGAAGCTACCAAACAACCTTTCCAGGTTTTATGGCTTCTGACAGTATTAAAAATAGCTTAATATAGCATCAACCTGTGTAAACAGGGCCCCATCCATTTTGTAAAAAATGCAGCAGTGTTCGCACCATCGAGATAATATTTCTGGGATATAGCAACAAATGGAAAGTGGTCTGCTCTGTCACACAAAGCATCTCATATAAGCACTTTTTAGCTGGAGAAGCACATGCTTCAATCCAGCATTCAGTGACCCGTGCTCACCAGAGCCTTTGTGTCTCCTTAGTCAAAGCTGAACAAACTAAATAGCAAGTATGACTTGGCGAGGTGGATATTTGCATGAAGCTATTTGTTGGTCTGGTAGGTGGCCTACTTAAAGCTAAGTGATTGCTTTAAGAGTGCAGAATATGGGTATAGGGTCAACAGAGCAATGGTGTGATCTTCTGTCCTCAATAGAGCCAATGTTTTGTGATTGGATAGAGAGTGTGTGCGTGTAGTCACAGTTTACAAGCTGAGAGATTTGAGAGGAGGCTGCGTCAGCCACGAGCTGAGAGGCAGGAGCACCAGTAGCAGCTTGAGTGCATGCATCTGCTTCTTGCATTGACTTTGTCCCCATCATCCACTGATTCTAAAGAGGGGATGGAGAGACTCCATTTGACTACAGGTCATATAGACCCCAATGAGTAATCCATTGAAATAAGCGGTAAACCTTTTGAATCTTGAATGAAAAGCTGAGAGCAGAAGAGAGAGATGAGATGTGTAACGTAGGGGGATGTTTTCAAGATGCAGCTCTCCTACCCATCTAGAGGAGAGAGGAAGTAGGAGGGGCTCAGCCTATTTGTTACTCACAGGCTGCTGCTTTCAGAGACACTCGCGGAGAGGGAGAGAGGGAGCAGTCTGCCGAAGGAAGCGTAGAGGGAAGCAGCGTACTCCACTTGATTTGTGTTTGAGCTGTCTGTCTGTCTGCGTGTGTGTCTGTTTGTCCCGGTTGGTTTATCCGCTTGGCTCACTAGCTGCGTGGGACGGATCGGACTGTTTCCCCCGACCCCCTCGACCTTCCACCCTTGGGTTTTGCCGTCCCTCCCTCCCTTCCTCGCTCACGGCGAGGGAGCTCCCGGCAGCCCAATGATGAAGGAGGAGGGCCTGCTGAGTCGTCGGCGTTTCTCCATGTGTGGGGGTACGGCGGCGCTTCGTCCCCAGCACCCGGACGGACGCAAACTCATCCGCAATGCCTCTTTCGGGGGCTACAATGAGCTGTCGCCCGTCTCGCTGCCAGGTGGGTGTTTAATGGCGTGGAGACGGCCTTTTTGCCAGGAGAAGCCGTTTAGTAGACCCTGTAGTCTCACCTCGTGATTGAATAGTACCTCTGTACTAGTGGATGTAGATGCACATGCCGTGACAAAGGTGGGTCAAATAGTTTTTCACCGAGTGTGCTCTTAAGTAGTGATTGCTGTCGGAAGCTTGAAAGAGTATGTAATGCTATTCTGATCAATATACTGCACCCAATTTGGAGATGGAGACTTGAGGTTGCGCTCAAGTTTCTGCTGCAAAAAGCACGTTCAGCATGTCAGCAGAGATAGAGGAACTTATATACAGTCAAACGCATTAGTGCCAGGAACACAGTCGAGGGGCAACTTTATCCTACCGTACGTGTTCTGTATCTATAAATGAAAAAAAATGGCAGTAAGTGTAAAATAGGATTCTAAAGTCAAGCTTCACTTTGATCAATAGGACTGCTGCAGCTGCAGTGTGCATCTTAAAGAGGAGGAAATTGTTTGCTGAAAAGGGCCAGCATTGCTAGGAGATGCGCCATCAACTTCATAATCATATATTCTGCCCTCAATTATTTAAGACATCTGCTCTAACATTTTGGTGCAAGTTGTTTTTTCTACCTGGAAAATAGACGTAAGCTAGTTAGCCTAGTTTGTTCACGTTAGCGCTGATTCCCACTTTTCCTTCATGTTATTTCAGCACCTGCTCGGTCATCTGCAGCTGTAGTCACGGATGCAAAAGGAAACCCTAGTCCCCATAAGCTGTTTGACTTTCAGGATTTCAGATATGGCAAAAACAAAACACCGGATTTTCAAAACTCGCAGCCGTGATATGTCACCGTAGCCTCCGTACGGACACTCTGGAGTAGTAAAACGGCAGAGGACACTAAGCAGAAGCCCCCAACACCAACCACAGCTCGCAAACTGCCAGTGTCTGGGGGAGATGGAGTGATATTAACTGGGGCCAATTGTACCGGTATACCACCACGACACAAACGTTTGGGACACAAACAATTTGTAACACTAATAATTGTACATTCATAAAATGATGCGGGCAAACTGCATGCTGGGTACAGCTCGCCCGCCAGAAATGCACCGATACAACTTGTGCCCTAGAGAGGAGCTGTGTGCGGTTTGGAGCAAGTTACATCGGAATATGATTCATTGCTAAGTTTGTTAATCCGCTGGTATTGCCTCTGGTGGCAACACTAGCAGTGAACAACGAGCGCTAAACAGCTGTCCAGGTGGTCGGCGGTCCTTTTCGGCGTTAGTGAATGAATTTGATTGTCAATATAGAAACACTGTGATCGGTACTGGGATATCGCCAGAATCATATCAAATACCGTGATATGAAGTTTTGTATCACCCAACCCTAATATCAACTACTTATAGTGCTGACATTGTGCTGACACAGCCAAAAAAGTCACACTTTGTACTGGCAACTTACTTATGTACTATTGCATCAAAAAGTATGTCCACATAAAGAAATTTGCTTTGTCATAGCTGCGAGGTGCCTGATTTTACTTGAAGAGAACAATATAGATAACTGCTTAACGACTGCTGCGCTTGAAACGTGCCGGTGCAAACTTTTGAACAAGGACACCTCAGGCCTCTCTCACTCAGCTCGCCTTTTTTTTCAGGTTCCAACGATGAGAGTGCAACGATAATCCTTTTTATATTTTAGAAGTACACCAAATCCCCCAGAACCTCAAGGATTAAATCTATTTCATGTTCATTTTTTAAAATGGCCTCGTCCTATGATCTTCCCACTGTTTGTCCTAAAGTCTGACAGCTGGCAGCCCCCGGAGCTTTGCATGGATGGATGTTCTGTTCCACCCGACTGTTTTTGACCTTTAATTAATCCAGGAAATGCTGTGAGTGCACAAGGGTGCAGTAATTCAGACTCGCGCGACAGTCAGTGCCATGCCTAAGGGCATCCCAGCGGTGGTCGAGGAAAGGGAAGTTGTACGTCACCGCCTTTCTCACCTTTCACCTTTCTATCATTCAAGCCGGTGACCTTTTGGCACGAGGCTTCTCTCCGCTCTAAACCAGCACCTCGACTCATGAGTTGAAGGTGTAATTGGCCTCGGCTGCATTCTATTGAATGACTTGTTTGTCTCCCTGTCACATACGCAGTAGTGTTGATCCGGCAGAGCGAGACAAAAAGGACAGACGAGGAGTCTCAACGCCGAAAGTGCAATTTACTGGTGGGAAATCATAAATAAAGCTTGATTACCAAACCTCAACTAGTTGTGTACATCGTCTCCGTGAAACGTGAGAAAGAACCCCCGGTAACCAGACACGTTGCATGTGGTTATACCAGCTTGAGGTTTCGTCAGACAACGTTAAGGTGGTGTGAAGTTTGGTCAAATCTGTACCGGTACCCCGCCCTAAAGCATCCCTGCTTTATGATCTATTTAACTTCAAATGGACAATAACGTATGGCACCAGTGTTTAATACATTCGACACTTTTTGCTTTTTTTCCTGGTTTCCAATGTTCTTGGCAAAACATTGCAGCTTGACTCTTCCCAGCCTTTTCATAAGATCCAAATATGGGTCACGGCCTGCAGTCTTTGCCAAAGAACAGGCCAGCTTCTGGCAATGCAAACAAACTCTGCCCTGGCGGACTGTATTTAGAACACCAACCCAAAACAGCGTCCATGGTAATGCAACCTGCCTAATACCCCCACTCTCATCCAAGCACATCTCGTTTGAAATATCACCCCCTCCAACCAATAGATGACGTGCTTTCTTGTCGTCAAGCCTCCTGTGAGCAGAGCTTGGGTTCAACCAACCTGCTTTCAAAATTTTGACTTCCCCACAAACCATTGTGATAACCCACAAATACCCTTCATTCCAAGGTAATATCATTTGGTCCTTCACCTGTGCAATTGCTTTCTAATATTGTGGGCGCAGCCTTCCATGGAGACGAGCACTCTGTGACGCATTGTTTCTGTTGCCTCCTCGGCTACCAAGGACTAATTAAAAAATGAATATATTTGGAAGTTGAAAATGAGCCGTTTTATGAAGCTAATGAGCAAATGAGGAAAAAACAGATAATTAGATGAAATGATGGCTCATCTTGAGGTCACCGTGTCTTGGCAGATGGCACATTCATTCAGTGCTGTCTCTGAACATGACGATAATGTGAGATATGACTAGTTAGATGTGTTTTAGATGCCCTACAGTACAAATTGCATTTTCTTTTGGTCCCAACAGGAGTTTATACAGTACCCGACAAAATTCTGTCCAAACCTTTTACTTTGAATTCTTAGAGAATAACCCTGTCGATGTCACCAGGGTTGGAGGACGCTTGTGTTACAGTCAACCGGACTTTGTACTTTGAAAGACGCTCATGTCTAAGAGACTCGGCCTCGGAGTTGTATTATGGGAGGTGTAGGATTGATCGGTTTTGGGGGACTTCTATCCGTCTTCCACCTTGATACCAACCATTCTCGCTTTCTCACGAGACCCCCAACTTAATTGAAGTGCCCTGTCATGTCGACCGTACCGCTTTACTTTGATCCTGCTGTAGGTTCTTACTGTATCCTTGATATCACCTTCTAAAATTGATGTATTCAGAACAGGAACTGGACTCGCAGCTTTTCCGTTCATTTGTCGGTCTCAGGTGATCTGTTGCGTACAAACTATAGCAGCAGCATTGAGAGTAACTCATTGCTTTTGAATTAAAGGGAGATGTAAGCATAGTGTTCTTCATAGCTACATTACTTTTATCGTTTTGATTTAAAGCAACTTATTTGATTTTCGCTTGATTAAGTCGAAAAAAATGGGAATACATCGCTAAATGTATTCCCATTTTTTGCCCCAACAGTGACACTGATATCCTGCAATACGTCAAAGGAAGATATTTACAGAAGCGTTGGATGGTTTGTACATGACTGAATTGAAGGGAGCGTTTGCTCACATCTGTCTTCGTGGCTGATGTCCAAGGCTTAATAACGCTTTGGGCGACTGTATTCTTTTTGTGAGGCAGAGCATTAGAGTGGAAATAGATTAATTGTTGCAGCACGCAGCTCTGCTTACTCTTTCCCTTCTCTCTCCGGTCTATGATCTTTTCATATAGAGTGAAAGCACTGCAGCTCTTGTTTTTGTCAGTCTGCATTGGGACGTGAGCCTTCAGTTACACACAGTTACCAGTGTGTCACCAGTTACTCCCGGACATTCACACAGGGAAAGGGTCAAGATTACGCTGACTTTCACACTGAATTTACCGAGAAACGCATTTATACTTTTCATCTAAAAAACTTGAATCATACTGCTCACCTAACACTGGCCCGTCTTGAATGCACGAGTTACGAGTTACTGATCGAGCATGCAGTTGGTGTTCATTGCTCCCCTGAGGGCATGAAGAGATGTCTGCCCTCTGACTGTCTCCAGCCAGACTGTAAAGGAGGCGATGGGGCTGCTGCATCTGAGGAGTCTCTGCCTGGTGTAATGGAAGATGACCTAAGTCCGCCCTGGTGGCGTCTGTCTGCAGAGGCACCATAATCTTCATGACAGGTTACCAAAAGACCTGGTTCATCAGGAATAATCATGAAAGATGCGTCACACATTTTGGGCGCTAATGATTTCTATTGTTCTTAAGTGTTTGCGGAGCGATGGCCAAAATTGGATTCACATTTTATTTGTTACTATACAAATAGAAATACTGTCAGATTGATTTGTGGGTTTTTACTCCTAAACCAGAAATTCTTTGAAAGCTCCACTTACACGTTTATTATTTCATTTTTCATTTTGTCACCTACCCATACTTCCACAAGCTGCCGAGAGTTTTATGTTTACCTCCTCATGCTTTGATGAAATAATTGTTTGTCCTTTTTTTTGCGTTTGCATTATTTAGAGAGTTTGGGACAAGACATGCTCTCGGGGCTTACTGTTGTGGATAACACGCCCCCGAGTTGATTTCCAGCTGAAGTTGGCATGGAGATGTGTCAAGTGGACACAGATGGTCCGGTGTTACGTCTAAATGAAAGACTAAAAGAACAAACAATTTGTTTGTTAGGGGTTGTTTGCTGGGGGAGACGGGTCATAGCCTTAGGCATACCACATTGTTTTTGATAAGAGTATCCAAACTTTAGTTTCCTTGGAGTCAATGAAATATTTATGATTTTTGTCTGCACGACCACATTTAAGTTTGCAGGAAGAATACATAAGAATGATTCCCATTTTGCCACAACTACCTACACAAAGTTGTTTTATTAAATTAAAATAGATCGTAAAATAGGATTTTTCACCTTTTCCAAATGATGAACGCCTCATTTGATGGTGCTACTCTACAGTGCTTCCTTTATTCTCATGGCTGAATACCGGCCCGCTGCCTCTGGATAGGAGATGGAAGCTATCAAATATTTACAGGCTCTTTGTTCCCTTGAGACCACCAGCCTCACCCAGTGCCAAGACCTCAGTGGGGAATCTGTTGCTTAGGGTAGACTAATTGGTTAGAAACAGGTTCAGAACAAGGTGGAGCTTGTTGCGACACACTACACTACATGAACTACCTTCGTATACAGCGTGTTGTTAGTAGAGAAGTACAGCTCACATTCTCTTCAGCAGCATCACTGAAGAAGTCACTAACCGAGTCTGTTAATGAACTCTGTTTAGCCGTCCACCCCCACGTTGTCCCAGCCAAACTCTGGATTAAAACAGGGAATCTCCTTTTACCAGCCAAGTTATCTAACTTTAGCTCAGTTCAGATTAAGGACTTTGAGCAGCTTGTTGTCAGCTCCATTCTGTGGCTGCTACGGGTTGCTTTGAAGGACAGACTGCCATTATGTAAAGAGATTCCACTTGGCTACACAGACACCTAGAGTCCCAAAGGCAAAGGCAAGTGAATCTTACCACTTGACCTGTAGTATACATTATCTTAAATAGCCAACATCATTAGCAATTAATCAGTATCAGTTTCTTTTTATTAATTATAAAACAGTTTTAAACAGAAGATCATCAGATGGAAGGCAGCTGTCCATTATTACCGTACATTGATTTGTATTTAGTTTTTAAGTTGAAACTGTAAAGTAAAACTTATTTGATGCAAACATATTGCAGATTTTTCTTTTTACATAAAACTTTATTTAAAACGCGCCATCAATTCACAATATCATAATATTTATTAATCTTCCAGCGGCCTCGGCGCATCCCAAAGGCCACAACTTTAGGAACCGCTGTGCTAGAGGACACACAAATACAATCTCAACTGCCATTTTCAATCAGGTCCCTGAGAGTTATTCAGTAAAGACACTTGACCACCAGAGAGGGGGCCATGGCCCCCTTGGTCCACAACACAGCCATTAGTGCTCTCCTGGTATCGGTCACCTGGAGAACAATGGTGACTCAGTATTTATGCTGTTTCGACTTTGTTTTTGTCCCAGGTTTCGAGAGAGGGAAGGAGGACCTCTTGCCTCTGCCTTTGAAAGAGGATTCACATTCCATATCTAAGAGCAAGGTAAGGACCAATCCACCCACCAAGCTGAAGTTCCATAGCTGATGGGGAGGAACGTCTGGGCGCTTTGGTTTTGTTGTAATGAGACCAGAGAATGTGGAAATTACTACAGGTCTCCTTTTCCTCTCGCAGTCTTGCCTTAGCGTTAGCTGGCCGACATCCCGATGACTCACAAACAGTCTACTCTGGTACACATCAAACAGTTACCTACCAAAACTGTAAATCAGACATTCCTTCAAAGGAGCTCAGTGTGGAGGAGGCCTGTGTAGTTTATCAATGAGGCCCACATCAACATATTTGTTAGAAAGGAACGTGGGAGTTTGAATCTCTGTGTGAGTCACAGCACACCTGTAGATTCATCTTTGTTCAGGCCTGTCTGTGGCTGCTTGAGACCTTAAGTAGTCCTGCTTTAGGATTCCCACACGCCTCCTGCCTATCTCCACTTTGAATTGCTTTAATTAACTTGTGAAGGGAGCTGGCGGGGAAGAACCTGCGCTGCCGTCGATAGGCTTCGTACTGCCAAGTGAGCAAGTTTGGGTCACCAGGGAAACAAGAAGGCACATGAGGGAGAAGAGAACCGTCACTTCTAGACGCTATTTTGCAAAGATGTTGCAGCTCTTTGCCAATGTTGTGAAAAAATGTTAATGTCCTCCTTTAGGTGGACTCTGTTTGCTGTTAAATTTATGGTGTAGCTTAGTTGATAAGAGGGAGGAAAATTCTACTTGGTCATGTAGTGGATGACTTCATTCAGATCACTTAACACAAAGTGCAGCAGTGAAACAAGCCATTTTGTTACTATTTTGTGCTAATAAACTCAATCCCCCTTCCCCCTGTGTTCAGTCTGAAACCAAGCTGTACAATGGCTCAGACAAAGACGTGTCGGCATCCGGAGGAAAGCTCACCAAGAAGGAGTCCCTCAAGGTGAGTGAGCTAAATCAGCTTAGAGTAAGTTCTGTGGACACCAAGGCAGGCATAATTTGTCTTTGAATACCCTAGGAAGAGTCACTATGCGTGAAATACTTACATTAGATAGGTGTCATTTTCCTATCATGCACCAACACCACCACAATACAGGATAGCGCAGGAAGTATTACATTTAAAGGTGGATACAAAGTTCACACTCCAATCAGAAGGTTCCAGCTGTTATTTGAGCAGAAGGTTGAGCAGTGTCATCCCAGGCCCATCGTTTGCTGCCAAATGTGATTGGTGAGAAAGCAGTTGTGGAGTTTTAATATTCAGTCGTGTGGAATTGACGTTGTCAAAATGGTCTTCCTCCCTGTGCTCTTTGTAGGTGCAGAAGAAAAACTACAGGGAAGAAAAGAAGAGGGCGACCAAGGAGCTGCTCAGCACCATCACTGACCCCTCTGTCATCGTCATGGCCGACTGGCTAAAGGTGGGAACGCCCTCCATCCTACAATCCATGTTTCCAGAATAACACTGGGCGATTTTGGTGAGGTGAGGCTCCTGACTTATTGTTTCTGCTCCAGATCCCGTGGCACTCTGAAGAGCTGGACAAAGCTTTGGTGCGTGTTGAAACCAGGCGTCCTGCTCATCTATAAAACACATAAAAACGGGCAGTGGGTGGGAACGGTGCTACTCAATGCTTGCGAGCTCATCGAGAGGCCCTCCAAGAAGGACGGCTTCTGCTTCAAGCTCTTCCACCCGCTGGAGCAGTCCATCTGGGCCGTCAAGGTCAGTATTTAATATTTTTAAGTTTGCAGGCAATATAGGGTCAATATCCCAGGTTTATCCGGCCAACATTTCCAGTTTTTTAATTTAATTAGTGCTTTGGAACTACCTTAAGGAAGTTTGATAGGTTGTCGAACCTATAAAGGATAAAATAAATATCAAATGCAAAAGGAAGAAAGTGCTTTTTGGGGTCGCTGATAAAAAAAAATCCCCTTAAAATTGCATGGCAGGAGGTGATTACTAAACAAAAGTCATGATCAGATATCATTCAAGGACATCTTGTAGGGCTTAAAGTAATATGTTTATGTTTTGGTACCAAGTAGTGTGTTATTCACACACATGTCCTTTTCCCTTTAGAATGTCAGAAATCCTGTTGATCATGTGGGAGGTTTGCATGTAAAGGAATAGTGTGAAAGAAAGAATATGGGAATGCAGACTGTACAGTAAAATAAAGCTACAGGATCTACCACTCACCACCTCTTAAGACAAAACTTCCACATCATATCTGTTTTCTTTAATGCTCATTAGTGTTCTGTGAGTACCGTATATCTTGTCCCGGCTGCACTGTCCCCTCCTCGAGGAAATAGTCATGCACGTATTATTTTGTCTGGATTTTGCCGATTTCTCGCCGTTTCCTGTCTTTATGCTAAGCTAGCCGGCTGTAGCTTCATATTTACGACACAGATTTTACAGTGGCATCAATCTCCTTGTGTATCTCCCAGCAAATTACTTTATGATTGTACTCTTTCTTTAAATCTGAAATAGATTACCTAATTACGATACGTTACGATACCAGGATTCTATACTGGTATATTTATCTATAATAGTAATAAATAAAACATCTGTATGATTCCTTTTTTTACCAGTTTGTTTCTGCCCAACTTTTTCAACACTTAACAAAAGGGATTTAATAGTAGAAATAGCCTACAGGCAAGATTGTGAGGGCTTTAAATGATGGAAATATGAATGAGACATCAATTCGCTGCCACATGTTTTTTCACTGACACAACGTCAAAAAATATGTTCCTAATTCATCCCTACACTACAATGGAAAAATGCATCTGACTTTATCGTTCTGTTATTTATATGATTAATGAGGGATTGATCAGGGGAAAGCGACACAAGCGGAATACTGAACTGGATTTATTATGTAGGATGGATCTGATTGAAGCACAAGTTGCTCGTAAGCGATGAACATAACAAAATGAACACAAAGGGATCTGGGGGGAAAGGTCTTTCATTAGGAACAAAAATCCTTTGTCTGCTGCATTTACAAAAATAAATAGTAACAGATGTGGGCTGTATAAATGAGAGCTCATCTTTGCTTTAATTTGCAGACAGACAGAGAACATTATACATACTGCCAACAATTATCATATTGGGCGCTGCACATTTTCCATTTGTCCCTGTGTTCTCAGCTCGGCTGTACTCCAACTGTGATTTGGTATTCATGGCTGACCTCGCCGTGCCATTTCCCCGTGGGTCTGCTCACTGAGAATGCTTGAATCACAATGGGCAATCTGTGTTTTTAGATTACAGCGCTCCTGCTCTACGAGTCATCTCCTGCACTTTTGGAATAAACACTTCATTGATTTAGCTCTTGTCCCCCTCTCATAGCTCATTATTATAACGACCCACCACAGAGTGGACGTTTTCTTTGTTTTCACATGCAAACAATGACGAACTGAGAAAAAAAGGTGAACCGAGTACATCATAACTCAAACCGCCTCAAAGGAGAAGAGACTGAGATAACAAAAAAGAACTACCTGAGCTGTAGGCCTCAAGTTGATGTATTCCCTCCTTTATTTCTTTCTGTCAGGGTCCTAAAGGGGAAGGGGTCGGCTCCATCACTCAGCCGTTACCCAGCAGCCACCTCATTTTCCGTGCTGCCTCCGAGTCTGATGGTAAGAGACATGTTGCCAATCAAACTGTAGCTATCTGTCTGGGTCGTGTTGCAGCAACAACATTGAAAGATGCAAGAGGCAACATGTTGATTACATGTTGGTGACCCAGAACACAATGTACCTCTGTGCGAAAGAGCACAGACCTTCTCTTGTACTAAGGTGGAACATTATTTCAGTTTTTCCAACAATAACTCTCAAACCTTTTCAACTCAATTTATTGTCTTAACTAATACATGATGAAACATCCACACCAGCCTCTCCCTACCTGAACTGTCTCCTGTCCATCATGCTGAAAATAAATCCTTCCGTAGGGGCTGGATTTTAATGATCAAATTTGCTCTGAAAGGTTTTTAATCTGGAAGTAGTGTAAGTGGCAGCCATGATGAGAACTCCAAATGTTAAGGAAAGGAGCTTCAATGCTTCCCTACTTAGCTCCTTTAGCATACGAACCACTGGACTATCTTTTACGACAGGGAAGGAGATAATTCTGTCCCACAATTCCTTGTCATAAATAATGACGTGTCTTTGGTCGTTCACGAGAACAACAACAACTGATGGACGAAGGCATCTAAGATGCGCTTTTTTGTAGTCCATCTTTGGAGAAATTGCAGTTTGGCCTCTGCAGACTGACATCACAAACATGCGTCTTTCGTCGCATCATAAATACGTAGCTTAGTGCAAGTGGAGTCGGATTCCCTAAATCCTCATTTAGTCCTCATAGTTTTTTTGACAATTTGAATCCAGTCTTGTGCTCTGTCCATGGTGCTGAAACATCCAATCCCGTCTCTCCCTGTCTTGATCTCTATCCTTAGTGCTGGGGTAGTCAAACAGTTTCCAAATCCTCTTGCTGTTTTCTACCATAGTGCACAATATATTAAATATCATACGTTTTGTTAAGTTGGATGCATTATATAACAAAAATATCAGACACATAAGTTTTCATCCGATAAGCTTGCTTCCATTTCTGAACAAAAGTCAGCCCCTTCTAGTTTGTCTACTGTTGTAATTTATGTATTCAAATTCAAAGGTTTTTGCTTATCTCGAACCAGTCGTACAGGAGTATCAAGGGGGATTGTGTGGAGACGTTCAAAAACATTTGACCAGATGCTTCATGCTCCGTGTTAAAGGGAGGACAATGTGAAAAGAATGAATATATATGCTGTGGAGTTGTCACAATACCAAAACAATAACGAAACGATACCTGCCATAAATATCACTATACCCGATTACTTACGTTACGATACCAGGATTCTATACTGGTATATTAATCTATAATAGTAATAAATAAAACATCTGTTTGATTCCTTTTTTTACCAGCTTGTTCCTGCCCAACTTTTTGAACACTTAACAAAAGGCATTTAATAGTAGACTTAGCCTACAGGCAAGATTGTGAGGGCTTTAAATGATGGAAATATGAATGAGACATCAATTCACTGCCACATGTTTTTTCACTGACACAACGTCAAAAAATATGATTTACAATTGAGGGTATTAAGTTTGTAATACTGTTTACTCCCTGAACGTCTTTTTTGTCAAAATAGCTTTGATGACATCATAAATAAAAAACATCTGATTTGATGTGTTTTTTCCTCCATCTTTAATCCTTAATGTTTTAAATGTATACATTTCTTATGTTATTATAACAGTCTGAGCACACATCTGCCAACCTCATTCTTTACCTTTTTTTACGTGCTAATATGCTGGTGTCTCTGAATGTCTTTCCCAGGTCGATGTTGGATGGACGCCTTAGAGCTAGCCCTGAAGTGTTCCAGCCTGCTGAAAAGGACCATGATCCGCGAGGGGAAAGAAGACATGAGCACAGTGGCCACTGGTGGAGAGCACTCTATTAATTTCTACAGCCTCCTCAGAGCCCACAACATCCATGGTTTCCAGTGAGTACAAAACAAATCCAAGGCAACACTATTCCCCTTTGGCTTTTATATTAAAATGTAACATTATGTTGTGAACATCCTTGCACACGATCTGCCCTCTCCCGCAGGTTCAATGACAGCGACCACCTGAAAGACCCTGACCTGTACTCAGACAAGTCGGACAGGGAGGGTGAACAGGACCACGAGGAGTCCGACCCAGAAGGCCTGGAAAAGAGTGAGGAGAGTGACAGCGACACTTCAGAGCGCCAGGACGACTCTTACATCGACGTGGACCCTAACGAGCTTCTACGGGAAACCCCGTACCTGGAACAGTCCCATGAGGAACTTGGAGAGGTAGAGGACAAAGTTTTCATGCAAAGCCTTTAATAATCATTACATTTTGCAGCAGCACTCTCTTACGGGCAGTTCCATCTTTAGCTTGAATTAAAACCAGCTAAATGCTATTTTCTTCTAAAGTTTTCTTGCGTAATGAGGTGAAAATGTGCATTTTCCGTTTTCCTACGCTATTACTAAAGCTGTAACTTGAACAGGCTTTGATTTGTATGGGTTTGCACAGGACCCACGGGAAGTTTGACAGCGCAATCATTTTAAAAAGTACTGAACCCGAGGACTAAAGTTTATATTTGTGTAGCACCCGTATCACCACTCTGTGAGTCACTCACGTGAGAATGGGGGGTGCTTGGGTTCGATGTATTGTAAAACCTTTTAGCAAGAAGCTATTTAAAAAATAAATGAGGCCCAGAGATGCTTGTTCTTTTAACAAAAGTAAAATAAATAGGGTAACGCCCTTGTTTATTTAAATACAATAGTTACTTTCCCCCAAAACCCAATATTACCAAATAGAGAAAAATAAATAACCAAAACTTACCCAAAACGTAAATAATAAAACTCCAAATTCAGTGATACACCACAATAGTATCAATGACGTTACATCAAAATAAATGTTCGAAATGTTCCCGTTCCTCAACTCGGAGAATACCAGAGTTCTCCAATAACAACAAAAACTTTCCCCTCCAAGTGTCTTGAAACAAGTATTAGCCGATGCGGTGTTGGGCCCAATCACACACACAGCCACACATGTTCCAGTTACTTACGGCAACGATATGTACGGAAAGAAAACACGTTGCAGACCTGTTTGGTCTGGCAAAACATTGAGTGCGCTGAAACCACTGTCAAAACATTGAGAGCGTGGAAACTCGGGTCCGCGATGCGAGTCACCGACACGTCCGCCCGGCCACGCCCACCGTGGCTAGCAAGCTCGGCTCCCTCGATGGCGACCTCCGCTGCTTCTCCCCCGCTCCGTCCGACGGGGTTTCAGCTTTGGTTTTTCCTCCGTTTCCAGGCTCACAAACACACCGAGTCCGCGGTCCACTCCTTCCAGCCTCCCGCGCCGGTTTATTCTGCCTTCTTGTCTCCTGTTAGCGTCTTTTTCTCTAGCGTCCCGTCTCTTCACGACCCCTCGTTTTTTTTCTCCAGAACCCCAAAAACTTCCAGAACTTTCCAGTCACGTGTCTTCCCCGTTGTTTTCCCAACCAATCACCATTGGCTATGCAGCGCGAATACACAACTTACCAATAATACTGTAACAAACAGTAATCAAACAGTAAGTACTAAAAGGCTAACGGCCTAAAGCCTCTGGAGATATTATTTAACTAAATTTGAACTTAACATTAGTATTCATCACTATGACAAACATTACTCCATACACGACAAATAAACATCTCCCCACTTAGAAATCAGGTGTCCCCTATTATGTATTTAATGTAAAATAAACATTTACTTTTTTTAATAGGCAGGCACCTAGTTTTGAAAGTACGACTATAGTCCTAAATTCACCAGGGGACTACACTTGTAAGCTGCAAGCAGTCAAGCTTCATGGAACTGCCTGTGCAAACCCTTTGCACTTTGACCTGTTCAACCCGCTTCGAGATGTCTGCCGTAGTAAAATACATAACCTTTTAATCCTTATACTTATCTCCTTCTCCAGGCTGGGGAGGCTGCCCAGACAGAGACGGTATCAGAGGAGAATAAATCTCTGATCTGGACTCTGCTGAAGCAAGTGCGGCCCGGCATGGATCTCTCTAAGGTGGTGCTCCCCACCTTCATCCTGGAGCCAAGGTCCTTTCTGGACAAACTGTCTGACTACTACTACCACGCAGACTTCCTCTCAGAGTAAGCCCTTCCCCTGTTCTGCTTTTAAAGTCTTATCAAAGAAATGGAGATAGAAAGATAGAAAAACCTGTCTTTTTGCTTATATCATTTTATAAATAAATTAATGTCTGGCCATAAAAATATCAAACCATACTTTTAACAGATTCCTATCCACCTTTGACTAGTGTTTTATAGTTTTTCCTTTTGGAAATACAACAAGGACTAAAGTGTAGACAATTATGCAGGTCTTACACTAACTATTGAATTAGATTATAGCGATTTCCCCCATATTTACTCTGTAGTATTTAAGATGAAAACATATCTGAAAACATATCTGGCTGAAATGTGTCACACTGGCCCTTTCATTGAATGTGTCAGGGAAAAGATTAAAGGTTACTATAGTGCACAGTAGCAGAGAAACACTTGCCGAGGATCAGTCTCAATCCGGACTCTCTGTTTCATTCTCAGGGCCGCAATTGAAGAGAACGCTTACAACCGGATGAAGAAGGTGGTGAAGTGGTACATCTCTGGATTTTACAAAAAGCCTAAGGTCAGAAGAATATACACCCTCCACCCACTTCATAAGCTTCATACAGTATTATAAAAGCCTGTTTCCAAACACCAGATGAAAACCTCAAATTATCCTATGAGTCATTATAATTCATTCAAACTTTTTCCAAATAATTAAATAATTGATTATTCCAAAATAATGCATTTTAAAATAGTGACTGTTTCTCAAAGTACTTTCTTTCTCAAAAGATTTGCTTCGTATTGCAAAATAATGAACTATCTCAAAATAATGACTTATCTGGAAATAATGACTTAGTGTTTAAAGTTAACTAAATGTTTTGTCATCACATCGGTGGCAATGGGCTTCCATGGAGTTGACATGCTCCATGGTATGTATATCGTACTAAAAGCATACTTAATGTTGGCTTTTAATTTGCAGGGGTTGAAGAAGCCTTATAACCCCATTATTGGAGAGACGTACCGCTGCATGTGGCTCCACCAGGCCACCAATAGCAAGACCTTCTACATAGGAGAACAGGTAAGAAGAAATGTGCCAGTGTACTACAGTACTAACTACTAGCAATCTGACCAAATAACTCGTATAGTACGGGAGGTTGGATGACTAAATAAATCAAATAAATCTATGGCTAACAGGGATGGTTTCGGCTGATTTTAATTCAAATGAGTTACCTTGTGTCTTTATATTTGCAGCAATCAGTCCTACGACATCAGTGTGTTCTTCTTTTCAGGTTTCGCATCATCCTCCAGTGTCAGCTTTCTACGTCAGCAACAGGAAGGACGGATTCTGTCTCAGTGGCAGCATCCTTGCCAAGTCAAAGTTCTATGGTACCCTCACACAACTAAAATACCTAGTCACCTCAAATAACAAAAATATTTGTTCTCCTGCTTTAATATGTGCCAGCACATCTGTCAACTGACTACTACTGTTCTTCACATTGCAGGAAACTCCCTGTCGGCCATATTGGACGGGGAGGCTCGGCTGACTTTCCTCAACAGAGGAGAAGACTATGTGATGAACATGCCCTATGCTCACTGTAAAGGTCAGTGCAACCTGACAGTTCTCACAACACAATCTCAGTCCAGTAGTGCTTTGTTTTTAAGTTACTGTAATGTTGCTTGTCTCATTTTGAAAGCTAGAACAAGTTGCATGGCTCTGAGCGTCTGTGTGAGTTTCCCATATATTGGTGGTGAATGAGATTCCTGTTGGGGCTTTTTCATTGGGTAGGCATCCTGTATGGCACCATGACTCTGGAGCTGGGCGGTCAGATCACCATCGCGTGTGAGAAAACAGGATACAGTGCTCAGCTTGAGTTCAAACTGAAGGTATGGCTGTGTTTAATAGAAACATTCTTATTAAAGAGGAAATCATTTTAGTGCTTTTTTTGATGGGAACATTTAGAGCCGTTTATAGCTATTAGAGAATAGAAAACGCTAATGTTTTGTGGGGTTGTATGGTATACTACTTCAGAGTTTCTATTGCTGTAGAAATAGTTAAGACGCCTATGAAGAGATCTTTTAGGCGTCTACCACTACACTCCTGTCCCTTTAAGAGGGAACTCCTCAAGCCTTTCTAGATACAGCACCTAAAGGAGTTTAAATCAAAAGAAAACAGTTTCTTACATGATTTTTCTGAATGTCTTACCCCACCACGCCATCGCAAACTCCACCATGCCAATCCTTCTCCAACCCCTGAAAACGCCCCCTCCTCCATTCCACCAATCATCCCATCAACGGCATTATGCCATCGCAAACTAGCGACAGGTACACATCAGAGAACGCTAACAAGGAATCAATACGTTTCCTTTTCCAATACAGATGTTGATTGGCGTCTCTGTTACACCGTTCTGAACCATTAAGTTGACATACTTTTATCAGTAAGCCATATTGGAAGTTAATTTTTAATTTTAATCTTTTTTAGTTAAATTGGGCATAAATATTTTTTTGAAGCGTTTTTTCCATGACTGAAGCTCGCAGAAGATCAGCCACACAAAAACTACTATAGACACTATAGATGAAATGACACATAATAAACCACAGTATTTCTTTCTCCACAGTAACAGCAGCAAGTAATCTGTCTGTGCATGTATCTCCCCTCTTCAAACCCCCATGTCCTCATTCCTCTCCTATCCTTCCCCGTCAACCCCTTTTTGTCTTTTGGTTCCTTCTTTCCTGTGTTCCTGCTTTTCCTGCTCTTTTATTTTACTCTCCATTTGTCCTTCCGATCCTTTCCTTCCCTTTATTTGCTTTCTCTTTTCTTGCCTTACCCCCCCATCCCCCGCCTTCCTCTCCTGCTGCTCGTCTCTCGTTCCTCCAGCCGTTTCTAGGCAGCAGTGACTGCGTCAATCAAGTCTGTGGAAAGATCAAGCTAGGGAAGGAAGTTTTGGCTACACTGGAAGGACACTGGGTGAGACACATTTTCCACACGACTGCATGCCGTTTGGATCTGCAGTCTTGGCTTTAGATAAATGGTAAATGGCCTGTACTTGTATAGCGCTTTTCTAGTCTTCTGACCACTCAAAGCGCTTTAACACTACACGACATCATTCACCCATTCACACCCATTCATACACTGATGACAGGAGAACCATATACAGTGACACCTGCCATCAGTAACTACCATTCACACACTGTAGTCGCAGCTACAGGAGCAATGTTGGGTTAAGTGTCTTGCCCAAGGACACAACGACATGCGGGTTAGCCGGGCCTGGGACCCTCTGATTGGAGGACGACCGTGCTCCCCACTCACCCACAGTCGCCCGATGCAGACGGATTGCATCCTGCATGTCTTTAGGCTGGTAAAGAGAGCCTTTTGACCCCCCCTCCCCTCTTCCGCAAACCCACCACAGGACAGTGAGATCTTCATCAACGACAAGAAGACAGGGACGGTGGACACCTTTTGGAACCCGACAACAGAGCTGAGGCAGAGTCGACTGACACGCTGTACTGTCCCACCAGAGGAGCAGGGAGAACTTGAATCGGAAAGGTGGACTTTTGACCGTCAGCAGATCCTGAAACATGAGAGCGTGGCCTTTTAAATCGTTGACTTTCAATGTAGTTTCTGTGGCCGAATTCACCTCTCACCCTTTCACCATTTGGATATATTTTTAGGATTGTCTTTAAAAATCTGACAGTCCAAACTTTTTAGGCCACGCCCACTACGGCGCCTTTCCTTCTTTTCCTCTGTTAGAGCAGATGAACTGCACTTTATGCCTAATATTTTTTAACTTTTTTAATATTTTAAATTGTGAACTCTAACGTTATTCTCTTGTTTTATACTAACCCATAGCCTTATTCTACTAACCCATTGCATTAGCATTTCATTATACTTTATTTTATTACTTGTGCACTGCTGTCTTGTTGTCTATTGTTACACTGTCTACTGTCACGCACCAACCGCCAAGACAAATTCCTTGTATGTTTGACATATTTTGGCAATAAATGTTTCCTGATTCTTGATTCATGACTCTGTTCCCTCTTTATCCCCAGACTGTGGCAGCACGTGACGCGGGCCATCAACAACAAGGACCAGACCGAGGCCACCAATGAGAAGTTCCTCCTGGAGGAAGTTCAGCGGAAGTCCGCCCGAGAACGGAAAGCCAAGTGCGAGGAGTGGAACCCTGCCCTGTTTGAGCAGGACCCTGTCACCGGGGAGTGGCATTACAGATATGCAGAGTGAGTGGCTCCTCCAGTGGGTTCAGTCAGGTTAGAGTAGGCGGTAGGATCTAACAAGGGCTCCTTTGTATCTAGTGCCTTTACCTCAGCACTACAGCATACTATTAATAGGAGGAGCTTAGCAATATCAGCAACAAAGAAGAATGGCTGCCAGATTTTTGGTTTTTATATATATATATATATATATATATATATATATATATATATATATATATATCAGTAACATATTGGCCTTTATCAAAATCCCTATAATTTAGTCTCCAAATCATTGTGACCAAGGCTCCAAACAATGGAGACGGTTTTCACACAATTGGAGGTTATTTTGTGTCGAGCAGATATCAGACAGTGTTATTTGTCTACCTTGTCATTGGTAAGGATGTATTTAAAATGATCAAACATATTCAACTTGACACGGGTCTATAACTGATGTTATAAAAAGATTGATAACAGATGCCCAACACTGATCCTTGTTGCAGTTTTTGGTCAAATATTTGAAAGAAAATCGTATTGTGGGATGTTGCGCATTCGTCTTTTATTTGAATTACATAAATAGCCCCTTAAGTACTTTTTGTACTCTTAGGACATATACTTAGGTTTCAGAGTTCTGTTACAAGGCCGTTTGCGCTTCCATCTTCAATATGGACTCATCCGGTGTGACAGGGCGCCATCTAGTATCAATTTGACATAACTGCAGAGCCGCTGTCAAACGGGTCTGCGGTGATTATTATTGTAATTCCTCGTCTTTGTCATCCTTTCTCCCCCATGTCTCACCCACACCTGTCCCACTGTTTTCTTTTCCTCACCCTCTGTGTCTCTCCGTCCCTCCTAACCCCCAGCACAAGGCCATGGGATCCGCTCAACGACCTGATCCAGTTCGAGAAAGACGGCTGTATCCAGACCAAGGTCCGACACCGCACCCCTATGGTACGTTCTGGCAGTCTTATTAGTCTGAGTAACCAGGGGCCGCGGAGGGACAATTGCAAGTGCCAGGTAGGTCGTCCCGATCAAAAACCGCCAATTATATATAATAAAAAAAAAAAGAAAGAAAGAAGCCCGGCACCCCCCACGCAGCACCCGGTGCATCGTTTTCATTGTCGCTTCTTCTCTTTGTGTTGTGCTCGCTGTGCTGCCATCGCCGCTGCCGCCACTGTCTTTCTTTTTGTACCTGTCTTTTCTTTTCCTACCACCCGACACCTGCTGTTCCCTTTGTATGGGAGGGAAGGTCATGTCAAAGTACATGCTAAAGTAAGTGGTTGAGCAGATGTTCTTTCCTTTTCAGTCAAAATTAAAGCTAGTGAGTGTAATAACCTCCACTCAGTAGGCACTTTAAATGCCTTTGGTGGTGTTTGTTAGGATGCAGCACTCAGGTGAATAAAATTTACTGCAATATGCTGAAATATACGTTGAAATCATTTATTCACTTCATATATTTACATATATATAGAGATAGATATATATAGAGAGAAAGATCTATAGATGTATGTATATATCTTTGCAAATCACATTTCTAAAGTGAAATGATAATAAACCCTTTTAAGGATTTAAATGGTATTCTTGAAGAATCTTTTAAAAATTGTGACACCATTAGCTAACAGTATGTAGAGAAAATTGTACGTTTTTTTCCCCTCACTTATTTGTTTTTCTCCCATACAAAGTCTAAAAGAGAGAAAATCCATTACATCACCCAACCGACCAGCCCCTGGCCGCTTCAGGGTGCTCGCCACTCGCTCCCCATCCATCACCTGTTCTTCATTTTGTCTGTTTCCACGCTGTTTGCCCACCGAGTGTCAACTCCTGCCAAGCAGCTCGGCGCTCGTGATGTGTTGAGGCGCCAGAGGCCGTCTGTGCAGCTGCTGTGAGCCCGTTTGATCAGTGTAACCGCCTGCCAAGGGCCCAGGCTCTGCTTACGTATGCTCATTGCTTTAGCTTTTGAGGTACTGCCTACAGAAGTCACAAGAGACACATTTGATACAGGTGGTTCTAGTTTGATCCAGTTTTTGGTTAAAAAACCCTTTTTCTAGAATAGTTTTCCTTAGCGAAAGAAAACGATTAAGATCAGACAAATGAAATGGAGAACCAGTTTTTTTTTTCATTTTACCAGCTTCTCAGGAGTTTTTTTTAATCCTTTTTTGAATAAATTCCTGGCTCGCATTTGATCTGTGATATTTTTGTGCTGCCAACCTTTAATTCAACTTTGAAACCTGTTTTTCTTCATAAAGAAATGTCCTCATATTAAAAAAAGCATTAAGAATGAGAGCTTGATCTTGTTGGATCACTTCAATGAGCTCTTGGCAGACTTGGCAGACAGACATGACTGGTGATGTACCTGCATGCTTTTTACACGCCAATACCGACCAGCATGTTTATGAATGTGTTTGTTTGGAGGGGGGGGGGACTCTTGCATCATAACATTATTATGTTTTATTGATTGGTAAACAAATCGGTTTATATAGTATTCTGCTTTTTGCTTGTATAGATGAGTTGTTATCATGAGTTTTTATCTGCGCTCATTTGGCTGTAGCTGTTATCTGTGTGGCCTTTTGGGTTTGACCTCTTTCCCCTTTTGTGTGTGTGTGTGTGTGTGTGTGTGTGTGTGTGTGTGTGTGTGTGTGTGTGTGTGTCTGTGTGTGTGTGTGTGTGTGTGTGTGTGGGAGTGGGTGTGTGAGAGAGTGAGAGTGTGTGTGTGCGCGCGCGTGCGTGCATGGATTTGTGTGTTTGTGTGTAGGTGACGGTGCCAAAGAGGAAACACAAGAGTGACAAGTCTAAGAGCCGAGAGAGTGGCTGCTCCTCACCTGAACCCGACCGCCAAGACTCATCTGGCAGCGAACGTAAGTCCTGCTCATTTACACACAGACACTAATTGAAACTAACTGTATATTGTCTAAATATACAGATACAATATGACATGATCAATGGCAGAACACAACAGCCATAGAGGCGGTAGAAAATGTCTAGGTAACAGCTGGGCTAGATTTTCTTTTTTTTGTACATGTATAATTGCTGTTGAAATACTAGTCACATGTTACCTAGACAGCGATAAAGCTTTCACTTTCTAACCAATCTGCAGAAGGCCAAAAGACTGCTAGTAGTAGGCTGAGACTGAGTAAGTAAACAGCACATTCTGGTGGTGTTAGGGGTGTCTTGTGGAGGTGATGGGGAAGGAACCTTGGTTATATTTCATACTTCATTCAGTCCAAGCGTCGAAAGTTCGTTGTTAGTTAGAATCATCAATGTTAAAAAATAAATGGCGATATGGTATTCATCTAAAAAATGGAACTTTGCTTTGAATTCAATCCCACACCCCTCCCGCTCCCCCCAAAATGCCAAAGAGACAATTCTATTCTTTTAAATACAAAGGCCCTGCATATTTTTTCTTTCTTGCCATTAACAGTAGTATGAGCGGTGTACTAATAGGTTGGATGCTGTCAGAGGACATAATTACCTATAAGAGAGACGAGTGTGACAGTGAAAACTGTTTTCAGTTTTTAATCGTTAACCAATCCAGCCATCCTTCAATATGCTGATGCTTATTGCATTTTATTGATTATAATATTAGGAATTATTGTTGTATAACTGGGGAAGAATAGATGTCGATTCATTGATGTACTTGGGTCATATTTCCCTGAGTTATGTCAAATGTTTTGAAAATGTATTGTATTTGGTGAACAGATAAAATGCAGAAGTCGTAATGAACACACTTTGTCACAGGACACAAAAGCAAGCATACCAGTCGGCTGAGGAAAAAAGGGGCCGACCTCTGTGAACTTCAAAGTGCCATTGAATCCATAAAGAAGACGCAGGAGGACATTAACAGGTGAGAAGGGCATCCGTCACACCGTCCCGTTGGCCGGCACATGGCTGCTGCCATTCAAGCCTCTACACATGACCACTGTGTGCTTGCAGGAACATCAGCGTGCTGCGGAGCCGTGCCGCCGGCCGGGTGGAGGGCAGTTCTTTCCTCCAGCAGCGGGACTACATCATCATCGTTTTCCTCATCCTCCTTCAGGTCCTGATCAACTATGTCTTCAAGTAGCAGCCATACCCTGAGGAGAGAGACAGTGATGTCCTCTCACACACGCACACATGAAAAAACTCAATAAACACCCAATGAACATTAGGCATCATGACTTCGAGACATGAACTTTGACCTCTCACAATAAGTGACTCGGACACTCTTCTCGTCTGTCTATATTTAATCCAGCTACACACGTCCAGAGAAGTGGAGACTCACTCACACAAAGACACTTTTAAATAAAACATGTTATTTTTAACCAGCCCATTCCAAACACCCTGGAATGGGCTGCAGATTCCAAAAGCGAAGAGGAGGAGCGGCTTTAAGGAGAAGTAGTTGGAGGGGAGATTTAGTCATGATTTCTTTTGTCGCGGTGGAGCTTGTTGATTTGCCTTGATGTAAGAGGCAAAGACAGCAGCCATTGTTATTAGTTTATAGCTGTTTTGTTTTTTTGTTCTTTTTCCAATGGAGTAAAACTACTTTGTGATTCACATTTCAAACCACAGGGAAGCGTTTTACATGGAGACAAGTACCATATGGCTCATATGGCAATACAGATTTAAAGAGAAAGTAAACCTTTAATTTGAATGTTCTTTTGTTAACGTTTTGCTCCTCTGCTCGGTATGTCTTTTGTGAAAAGGGGTGTGCTCGGGACAAAAGGCATAGGGGAGCGAAAAACAAATGGGTCCAATCTATGTGACATTTGTTTTTTTATTATTGGGTACTTTAATATGAGGCCGGGTTTCCATGTGTAGAACCGGACAAGGAAGACAAATGATACAAGGGACATAGTCAGAAGGTACAGAGGCTAGAGTTTCTGCTGTATGTCAAATCTTCTCCTTTGGGATGCGAAATCAATGTTGAAAGACCGAAGTCGTCGTCGTCGTTGTAGACTGGAGGAGCGTGTTTAGGACGTTAGCGCTATGTACAGTATTTTGACTTAGGGCACAAATGCACTGGAAATGTCACATCGGTGTTATTAGCAAAAAAAATGTACGTGGAAATTCTTTTAGATCTCTGCTCAGAGAGTCAAAATATGTTTTTGGGTGATTTCTTATGAGCCTCAGTGACCACTGCCCTAGTTGCAGATAAAGGGAGTTGGTACGTTTTAATCAGTCAGCAAGGTCCTCTGAAATCAACCAAGACATGCACTTTCTTGCTTGGAGTTAGATGAGAAGATCGACCCTCACGCTCGTTCAATGCAACTAGCAGCTGCTCAGCTTAGCATAAAGAGTGGGAACGGCGAAAACTTTCCATTGTTTAACTTAAAACTAAAAGTGAGTATGTGTATTTCCCTAAATAAATTCTGTTAACATTTAAAAACAACAATTGATCCATCCCATCCATCTGCAAACCGGCTGCACACAGGGTCGCGGGGGGGCTGGAGTCTATCCAAGCCAACTCCTGGACTGGTCGCCAGCCAATCGCAGGGCTACACAGAAACATACAACCATTCACACTCACATTCACACATCTACGGGCAATTTAAAGTCCCCAATCAACCTGATCCCCAGAGCGTGTCTTTGGACTGTGGGAGGAAGCCGGAGAACCCGGAGAGAACCCACGCAGAGAACATGCAGACTCCACACAGACCAGGACCTTCTTGTTGTGAGGCGACAGTGCTAACCACCACGCCACCGTGCTGCCCTATAAACAACAATTGTATCTTGAAATTGAGTTTAAGTTTCCGTGTGTTGTGCCATCACACACACGCACAACCTAAAAGATGCAAAGAGGAGCTGATCTGAGGTCATGTAAAAACCTCCTCTAGACGGAGGAGAAAGTCCCAACGTCCCCTCAGCTGCTGACTGCAGACACTTTACAGCAAAGTCTAATTCAGAGCAACGATGACCGCTTTCAGTGCTTTTGTGCCTCAGATGTTTACCAGGAGAACTAGTATAGACACTTTAGTAAGCTACTGGTGGGAGGAGATAGACTTTTTCTAACTACTACTATCACCACAGTTAACCATTCCAAATGTACGCGAGTACCAGCCAAACTCGGTGTGTAGAGTAGGAGACGACCCCGTTCACTGTGTAAATACCCGGAGGGACGGCGCGCGGCGTTTCAGCACCGCGGCTCTTGAAGTAGACACTCCCGCGCTCTGTGCACAAGCCAGTCTTTTCAACCTTGTGTGTCTTTCTGTCCACTGCTCTGTAGATACACATGGACATTAGCAAGAAAACAAACACAAAGAAAACGGATTAGTGGGGTACACGATTAGATCAAAGAGGCCTCAAATTGTCGCTGTTACTCGTCACGTAGTTGCTAAAATAAAGATGCTTATGGAAATTTCAATTTCGCTTTTGGAAAAGTATAAACCGTGGTTCTAATCTGTTGCCTTCCTCTTGAGAAAGAAGAGTTTGCCATTTTAAAGACTGGGAAATAATGAAATAACAGACTCCATGAAAAGGTACAAGTTTAAGAGGGCTGTGTTTAGCACAGAAAAAACACTTTTTGGGGATTATTTTTCAGCATCGATCCACAAAAAAACGCAGCATAATACAAGCCCCACCGGACCTTTCTATGACCCGCTCTGGCCAACATGGCCCACCAAAGATGCAACTAACTGACCACTAATTCAGGCAATTAAAAATGCTCCTAAACACCGTATCTGAATATTGATACCGTGTCATGATGTTGGCCTTGTTGACGTTTACACATCCCATTGCCTCCGCCGTCAGCAGACTGTTGAGCGTTGATAACTCTGTAATGCTAACACAGGTATAAAGAAAGACGTTGGGAGCCCACTGTACCCCCCCGTAAGTTACCCGGCTGGCCCGTGTGTATCTGTACAAGTATTTTTGTGTATCCTCATTGCCTCATCTTAAAAGGAGAATCCAGATATCAGAATGTGGAGAAATAAGTATATACCAGTGCCTTCTAGAGTCGGACCTGGGAGGGGGTAGATATGTGGGAGGAGGCTGCGGTGTGGGTGAGCTCATGATGATGGCAATAACCTGGAATAAGTCCATATGCTGGGGGGACCCTGGCCGCGGCGCGCGGAGCCCCGTGGGGCCCCCGGGGGGACGCTCTATAGAGCCTAGACAACAAGTGTGGCTGGGACCCAGAGTTCTCATTCAGCAACCCCCCCCCCCCGTTGCCCTCCCTCCCTCCCTTCCCCAAAGCATCAACATAGTAAATCACCAGTAGGTTTTCCGGATGCTTATTCCTGCCACTGCAGAGAGAGAGCGAGAGAGTAAGGGAGAGAGACCACTCCTCTACGTGGGCCCCTTCGTCCCTCTCTCGCTCTCTCGTGTACCAAAATAAACAGGTCTGCTGTCTGTTGTTGTTGTTGCTGTGTCTGTACAATAATACGTTTTATTTATTCCTCTTTTGTATGTGGGTTTATGTTGACTTGCTTCAGCTTGTAGCTGTAGGTCAATGCTGATTTTAAATTTACACAAAGTTGGTTTTATCCCTCAACTCGTGACTTGACTGTCCTCAGCTTGTGCACACTGCCCCCCCCCCCCCCCTCACACATACACAGCTGCCCTTTTTCCAATCTGAGTATGTGAATATATTTACTGTATTTCCATGGCAACTCCATGGAAACCGTAACTTCCTGTAAGTTTATGGTCAATGTAACATAACAGAATAAAAACAAATGACATCCTGGGTCGGTCACTGTCCATCGCAACCGTATTCTTGCATTTGTTATTCATTCTGTATTTATTGGTGTTGTATGAGGGGGTGAGGACGGTCATTACTCTTTAAGTTTATCTCCATTATGAAAATTGAAAGATGGATACAATCTAGACCACATATGGACCCTTGTGCATTAAGTCAAAGACCAAAACATGTTAAACAATAAGAAATAATAACATCAGCAAAAACTAAAGGTAAAAATTAGATAAAATCATTGCGCGTCTCTTCTTGCATGTACATCTTTATGAGGACGCACATCTGTTGTCGACCTTCAGATTGAGGATGTTTTGGCACTTTTTCAAGACCTGTTTGCAGTTTCAGACATGTTCAGATATTTTAGGTTCAGGTGAGGTAAGTGAGTTTCCTCATAACATAGAAGTATGTTTTTTTTTTTTTATAAATCAGATGTATTTACATATGTTTGGAATTGCTTTTCCTTTGTTGCCATTTTATGACTACATTATTATTATTTTTCCAGTTAAAAAAAGGACATTTTTTCAGCTTTCGTTTGTATTCTGTGTGTTTATTCGATCAGCTGTTAGAAAACTACATTCCACCCCTATCTGATAAACTTGTGCTCACTAGATCAATTAAAATAGTCTTGGGCGTCTCTCCCCTTTATTCGTGCTGCTGTAGCAGGTTGGTAAATAACTTTCATTAATGCTTTGCTAAGGGCCATTCTCTCTCAACTTATGCTAAAAAAAACCTGCTTACAAATAATACAAATTATAGAAATTACAGTAAGTAATTTAAATGTCTGTTTGATATTTTATATTTTTCTTCATGTATGTAGTTGACCCTGTCACTAATGTATTGGCTCTAAAAATTTTAAATTTTAAATGTTTAAAATAAAACCATTTACCATAGAACATTTGGAGATAAAGCCATCATTTCCAAGGCTTTGTAGAGAGGCTGATCCACCAGTAGAGGGCAGCGAACTCACCATTATTTATAGTAATCTGACACCTTGTAGGTAGCCTAGAAGTCACAGAGGGACATGGCATGACCCTGGGATCGTTGAAGTGCCCTTGAGCAGGGCACCTCACCTGCAGCTGTTCCAGTAACAAGAGGCTGTGTGGCAGCAGGATGAGGTAAGATGGGGAATTTAGGCTTCGTCATTGTCAATTTTCTATATTGTCATTTATCCATTATACGACAGTACAAAGGACATGAAAAAATATTGAAATACAGAATTACAAGCAATAAGAAAAATGGGAAAATTATACTTCAGTGATTTTTGGAGTTGTGCTGGTTCCACACATTACAAATTCCTCAAAAAATAATAGATTTGAGTTTCTTTACATGATTTTTGATAACTATAATTATTATTATAACACCTAACCCCTGTGCTTTACCAAACTGAACCCACACAGATAGAGATCCCAGTGAGCTTTAGCAGCCCTCGCACAGGGACATTTCCTCAGGCAAGGACGTTGCCAAAGGTGCATGGATCAGCTCAGTCCTTCCTGTCCATCTCCGATAACAAATAAACATCTGATATCAACCCCCAGTCTGTCGCTTCCCTACTTTACTCCCCTGCTTTGCATCAATAAAGGTGCTGCCATGGAGGGAGGATGAGGAACAGCTTTAGAAACAATGAGGGAAGTTGTACAGCTTGTACACGTGATGTTGGAAGCAAAATGCAGCTTTGTATGCATGTATCCAACAGTCCTTCCTCCAGAATATTACTTTATGAGTCAAATCTGAGAGACGATCAGTGGGGCAGATTCTCCACCGCTGTCCTTGAGGCATGAACTATAGATGCAGAATGAGATTCTGTTTGAATGTACAGTCTTTGCAGGAGGACATACGATCTTTACCATCTATCCGGAAACATTTATTGCCATAATAGACAGACAGACATACAAGGAATTTGACTTGGCGCTTGGTGCGTAACAGCAGACAGTACGATAATGAACAACAAGACAACAGTGCATAAAATATAATGCTATTAGTTAGTTTAAAAATAAAGGAATAAAAGTTCAAGTTAAAAATAACCAGAGATGAGTTCAAGAGCTCATCTCTGGTGAAAGAGCTCTGGGAATCGCAACAGGAAACATAATTAACAACAAAAAATAAAATTCGCATCGAAACACCTTGGCAGCCATTGTTGACGCCATCGTGGATATCGAGAGGAAACACCAAAACGTTTGTAGATTGTGGGGTATTTTCTACTTTCTACTGCGTGGAAGTAAAAGTAAAATCCCATTGATTTCTGTGAAGTTTTAATGCACTTGTCGAGTGGCCAAACAAGCAGACAGACAGAGAATTTGGCAGGTGGATACTAATAGGAATGTTTCATCAAGGACACACAGGAAATGTAATCCATTCGATGCAGTGCACTGTTAAAGGTCTCCTTCCAGCTGATAGTTATTACATTTCCTCATCCCTTCTCTCTCCCTCGCCTTCCAATCACAATCTCTCTCTGCTCTTTATCTAAAAGTAAAATGTTGTCCATCCTTTTACTCAGTGGGCGGCATGATTGCTGTTGCTTGGATACATCATCCTGGCTTTCCTTCAAGGTCAGAGAGGGGGCCGAAGGAGGATTGACTGGGCAAAGACACAGGGAGAGGTGGGAGGAGCGTGGGTAACGTGGAACAAGGTGAAGGAGGTTGGGGGCGGCCAGGCGAAGAAAGAAATTGGTGGAAGGTGTTAAAGAGGAAAGAGATGATACAAGA